GAGGTGCTGGTTCTGGGGGTGCTGCTGCTGGAGACACTGAGGCTGGAGACCCTGGGACTAGAGGTGCTGGTTCTGGGGGTGCTGCTGCTGGAGACACAGAGGTTGGAGACCCTGGGACTGGAGGTGTCGGCTCTGGGACTGGAGCTTCTGGAGCTGCTGGAGGTACTGGAGCTGCTGGAGGCACTGGAGCTGCTGGAGCTGCTGGAGCTGCCGGTCCTGGTGCAGCTGCGCCGACACGACGGTTCTTCGCTCCGCCGTCTCCGTCGTCTCTGCCACCGTCTGACTCTGTTCTTCGTCAGGTTCTTACTCTCCCGTCGTCTACTGGTCTTCCGTTACAGCCTGGCTCACCGCTGCCTGCTCCTTCTCCTTACACTGTGCAGACTGGTAGTCCTGCTGAGCGTCGTGAGCCTGCGTCGCGTCCTGTTTCGCCTGTTCGTCCTAGTCGTACCGGTCGTCGTGTTCCTCGTTCGCGTCAGCCGGCTGTCCCCAGCGCACACCTCGTAGTCCGTCGTCCTTCCTCTGCTCCGCAGCCTGTTCCTCTGCCGTCTCCTCCTGCGTCCTCTTTGCCTGACGTTCCGGACCCTGCGTCTGACCGGTTTCGTGCTGAGCACCCTACTGTCACGCGTCTACTAGCCACAGTTGTCACTGACCCGTCGTTTGAGTCTGCTGCTGCGTCTGCTCTTGTCGCTGAGCTTGTTGACTTTGCTGCTGCCTGTCGTCTAGACTTCGCTGCCAGTCTTGTTACTGAGTCTGAGTCTGTGTGTCCTCCGTCCGTCGGGGGTGAGTGTGCTCTTAGCACGGACGTCCTTGAGGACAGGCACGAGGACCTTGAGTGTCTTGCAGCCGTTGCGCCTCATCTCGTTGCCATGCTGCTTGCCCCTGAGGGAGACCCGGATGCACCAGACATCCCGACCCCGCGCTCTTACGCTGAGGCGATCGCGGGTGAGTACTCCTCTCAGTGGCAGACAGCCATGGACGCAGAGATGGCATCCTGGAAGTCCACTGGCACTTACGTCGACGAGGTTCCCCCTCCTGGGGCGAACATCGTCAGTGGCATGTGGATTTTCAGGGTGAAGCGGCCGCCAGGTTCTCCGCCTGTCTTCAAGGCTCGTTACGTTGCTCGAGGCTTCAGTCAGCGAGAGGGAGTTGACTTCTTCTAGACCTTCTCCCCCACCCCGAAGATGACCACTCTTCGGGTGCTGCTGCACGTTGCTGCTCACCGTGACTACGAGCTTCACTCTTTTGACTTCAGCACAGCTTTCTTGCAGGGCAGCCTGCACGAGGAGATCTGGCTGCGCCGCCCCCCGGGCTTCACTGGGTCGTTCCCTCCTGGTACCCAGTGGAGCCTCCGGCGGCCGGTCTACGGTCTCCGCCAGGCGCCACGTGAGTGGCACGACACACTGAGGACTACGCTTGCGGCTCTTGGGTTCACTCCTTCTACTGCTGACCCGTCGCTGTTTCTGCGCACCGACACTTCACTGCCGCCGTTCTACATCCTCGTGTACGTCGACGACTTGGTTTTTGCCACTGCTGACACTGAGGCTCTCGCCCACGTGAAGTCGGAGCTGCAGAAGAGACACACGTGCACTGACTTGGGTGAGCTGCGCAGCTACCTTGGCTTGCAGATCACCCGGGACAGAGCACGCCGCACCATCACCTTGACTCAGTCACACATGGTGCAGCAGGTCCTTCAGCGCTTCGGCTTCACCTGGTCTTCAGCACAGGCCACTCCTCTGGCTACAGGTCACACGCTCTCAGCTCCACCTTCGGACGAGTCCGTAGAGCCGAGTGGTCCTTACCCAGAGCTAGTCGGCTGCCTCATGTACCTGATGACTTGCACTCGACCTGACCTCGCATACCCTCTTGGTCTTCTGGCTCGCTATGTGGCTCCTGGTCGGCACCGACCTGAGCACATGGCTGCTGCTAAGAGGGTACTGCGCTACTTGTGCAGCACATCAGGCATGGGGCTAGTGCTTGGAGGGACGAGCCCAGTTGTCCTCACTGGGCACTCAGACGCTTCTTGGGTTGACGACCAGGCTACTCAGCGGTCGTCACAGGGTTACACCTTCAGCCTTGGCTCTGGTTCAGTTTCGTGGCGTTCTACACGCTCGTCTTCAGTTCTCAGCTCCAGTTGTGAGGCTGAGATCTACGCCACAGCCATGGCTGCACAGGAGTTACGCTGGCTCACCTACCTGCTGACTGACTTGGGAGAGCAGCCTCGTTCTCCTCCAGTGCTGTACGTCGACAACAAGGCCGCCATTGCCTTGTGTGAGGAGCACAGACTGGAGCACAGAACGAAGCACATTGCTCTGCGTTACTTCCTGGCTCGAGAGTTGCAGCAGCGAGGCCAGCTTCGTCTTCGCCACATGGCCACTCGGGCCAACACTACTGATATATTCACCAAGGCACTTCCGTCTGGTGATCATCAGCGCTTTTGTACTCTTTTGGGCCTTGTGCCTACGTTTCCACACTTGCTGTAGTCTCTGCTTGTACTGTGATATATATATATATATATATATATATATATATGCATGCTGGCTCTTGCTAGGTAGCCATCACTGTACTGTTATTGCTGCATATATATCTCTGCATGTGAACTGGCCCTGTGGCCCTTTGCTTGTGCTCGGAATGCGTGGTGACGTTGTGATCCACCCTGAGCCTTGTTTCTCTTGACTGGTCGTGTGACCCCTTGTTCTCCCCCACTTTGCCTATGGGGGTGTGTCAAACTATATGTACTGCATATTGTCTAGGCTGTAGTGGGGTAGCCCATATGGGGTACAACCCAATTAGGGTTTACTACTTGTACTCCTGCATCCTGTTAGTTCATCCATTCCTGCTGCTAGATTCTAACAGGGCGGCTATGCCTTCTAACTTACACGTGAGAGTTGAGTGCATCCGCTGCGCATCAATAATACCCGCATTATCAATACCCTAGGTTTGACCCAGTGGTTACGGGGCGTTCGAGCGCCAGCCATCCAGAACCACTCACTGGCGCTGACGTGGGTCGCGAGGAGGCTGAGTGTGCTTTTGAGTCGACTTTGAAACTCTCCCGTGCCAGCGGTGGACGGCAGCCATCCAGTAACACTCACCAGCGTTGGCTCGGGTCGCGAGGAGGCTGAGTGCAACGAGCCCCGCGACGAGTGCGCGGCCCAGGCCAGCGCCAACGGCAGACCGCCGCCCGGAGCGTTTCATCATGGCGACGGGTGACGGCTAAGGAGTCAGGGAGGCCGGATCAACGATCACCGCGCAGAGGCGAAATGCTCCGGCTTTTCTTGCAAGTCAGGTGTCGAACCGCCGCAGCGACTCGCTTCGTAGTCCGAGTGCGGCTCAGTAGAGTCGATTCGTCGAGATTGGGACTGAGTCGGCTTAGTAGGTGACTGAGGCTCGCTTTGTTCGTCGAGATTGGGCGGAATCTCAAATGTGAGAGCGCAGGAGGAGGAGACGAAAGCACGTAGTGTGCGAGAAGTGGCGTGAGAATGAGATTCTGATGCCTCGGAAGGAATTGTTGATAGTGCTGAGAGTGAGTGGCCAAGCGCGCATTGATCATCGTTCCTATGATTTGACTGGTCCGACGCTCGCGCTGTGAACTTGCGCAATGTGACGCGTTTCGTTTCCGCAATCTGCGAAAATTTCCGACGGTGAGGCGCGTGCGGAGGGAGACCGACGCCGGAGTCCGGCGGAGGGGAAGGTGAGAGAGAGGAGCGACCTTCGAGACAAGCGCGAAGGAAGGGAGCATGACGGGATCATGACGGGAAGAAAGACCAGCGTTGCCGTTGGACGAGGCGGGATTGAGGCTCCGCAACGGGACGCAGAGCGAAAAGGCTTCCGCCTCGTACTAGAGGCGCACTCGCGCGTTATTGCTGTTGGGAATAATTCACAAATGAAACAAATGCTGTTGTGAACGCGTTTGGCATGGCTAACGAACTAATGGGGAGGAAATGGTCAGTGGTAGCCTGTCAGAGTTCGCAAGCAAATGCGATCTTTTGCGAGCTTTAGCGACCGTACTCTGTAACGTTCGTTAGCTCGACGGACCATCGTTTGCCCAAGCCGACGCACCTCGGCGACGGAAATATGTCTATATCGCCAGCAAACTTGGGCCACACGAAGGCCGAACGCATTCTCGCTGGTCTCGCTAGCCATCGGCACGCTGTCCATAAGCTAATCTGAGAGGCGAGGTGGAGGCATATATCGGAATAAAAGTGTATTTGTACCACAATGAGATTCTGTATACATAACAAATGACTCGTCCGTCTTTCGACAATATCCAGGCGCTTTCACTCAAGGTCCTGCTTCAACAAGCAACAAGCTTGGTATTTTTAATACAACGTACAAATGACGAAGAAGCCAAGACATACAGTGTAACAAAGTACCGGAGCTAGCCATCCCTCTAGAACAAAAACCAGATCCTTGGTACAACGACAAAGAAGCCTGCAAAGATATCCCTCCCAATGCCTACACACATTGACAATACAGCCAACCATCAGCCAAGCTGGTTCCTTCCTGGTCCTGGCCTCCAAGAAACCACATGCTGTTGCTCGCGCCTCTGCCCCACCAGTCGCCACCCATCTACTGTCCCCCTAGCGCTGCCAGCTTGCGCTTCCTTGCCTTGTCCACCAGCTTCTTTGTGGTGAACATGATCAGCTCTTTGGGTTGCAATGAGAGGGCGAACGGGAGGGCAGGCCACAACGTAGGACATGATTCAACGGGAGGTAAGTGAACATAGGACGGAAGATGAAACGGGATGATCCGCAAGGGGAGAAAGAATGTGGATGGTGGAGACACGATTCAACGAGATACGGATGTGCATGCTGGATGATAACAGCATTCAGTGAAGAAACCGGATTGACTTTTGAGTCGACTCAAAAGTCAGCTGGATGGTGGAGACACAATACAACGAGATACGGATGTGCATGCTGGATGATAACAGCATTCAGTTAAGAAACCGGACAGGGAAAATACCGTCCCCGCATCCATGTCACTCTCCCTTTTCTGACCCTTACAAGTGCACTTGTTGTTATAATCCATTTGGTATCCCGCCTTGCACTGGCATGCCGCCCTTCCTCCCACCACCTTGCACTGGGCATTGGCAGGGCAGCCACCCTTGCATATGGCTGCCACATGTGATGGGAAAAGCGGGATAGACGGAAGAATGCAAATCAGTGAGCGAGGAAGAGATAGGGGTGTACCAGCAATTCTCGATGACAAAAACGCGACATCAACGTTGGTGCACCAACCACAACCACATCCAGGCATGTGCACCACAACCACAACCACAACCAAGAAGAGGTTGTGGTTGGAGGAGGGTGTAGAGTGAGAGTAGATGGCACGGATGCGTCATGTGGGTAGTTTATGGGTGCATGTGGGTCATGGTTCGGTAGAGGTGAAGATGGTGGTGCAGGTGGGTGGTGAAAGGTGCATGCGTCTTGAAGCTTACGTGTGCACTTGTTATTCGCCATTCCAAACCCTGCCTTGCACTGACATGCCGGGTTTCCTTTCACCTCCTTGCACTCCGCATTAGCAGGGCAGACGGGATTGCATACAGCTGGTGGAAGGGTGGAAATGAAGGAATAAATCGGAGAATGAGTGAGAAACAGTTTTAGGGCACACACTGAGCGAGATAGATGGCACAGACAAATCATGTGGGACCGTCACGGGTGCAAGTGGGTGGTGGAGATGGTGGGATCAGTAAAACTGGTGTGCACGAAAGGAAATCTCTTCCTCTCCCTTACGTGTGCACTCGTTCTTCTCCATTTTGAAGCCCTTCCTGCACTGACACACCGGCTTTCCTCCCACCACTATGCACTGGGCATTCACACAGCAGGCAGGCTTGCACATGGCTGGCGTGGGTGGGAGGTGGGAGGTGGGAGGTGGGGGGCGGGGGGTGGGGGGTAGGGAGAGGAGCATAGGGCTGAGTGGAGTAGCAGTGGAGAAATACGAGGCGAGTGGATGGAAGGAGGAGTGGCGCGATGATGCACTGTGGCATTAGGTAACTCCCGCCAAACCCCCACAGGAAGTGAAGCTGGCCTCACATGAATCAGTTTTGAGAATACTCAAAAGTGGTTTCCATATAAATGTGTTCCCCTCCCCTGCAATGTCGCTAAAGGCTGGACTGCCCCTTGACCTCTTGGTCACCATCCCTGGAACCACAGCCCTTGTTCAGTGCACCATCCCTGGAACCACAGCCCTTGACCTCTTGGTCACCATACTCAAAAGTGGTTTCCATATAACTGTGATCCCCTGCACTGTCACTAAAAGCTGGACTGCCTCTTGACCTCTTGGTCACCAGCTTGGGACCCAGAGCCCATGGTGAGCTCACCAGTGCAGAGGCCGCTTGTCTTTGTGTAGCCAGCATCACAGGCGCAAATCCCCTGCCCGTTCTTCACAACGCACTTGGAGTTCTTGGCGCACTTGAGTGTGCCCGTCTTGCAAGGGTCTGCCACTGCCATGGGTGGAGGAGGGAGGGAAGAAGGAGTTAGCATCAGACTGACTGAACGTGACTGAATGTGTAAGGGCAATTCACGTTCAGACTGCATCTGTCACCGTCACTTGCACAACACAGATTCAACTCTGTGTTTGTTGGCAAGCATGCAACAAGAGACAAGAAAACCCACCACCAGTAAGAGACAAGGACACCCACCAGCAGAATAAGGCGCATCGCTGCAGGTCTTCTCAGCCTCATTGAACACGAGGCCCAAGGGGCACTTGCACTGGGCCTTGCCCTCCTCCACAATGCACTTGGCACTTCCGCAATCCTTGGGACACGGGGCTGTCGAGGGGACCACAGACGGGGCTGTTGTGGGCTCATCAGAAGGGGCTGTTGTGGGGACCAGAGAGGGACAAACACCGCAGGCAAAAAAAAGGGAAGGGGTAAGGAAACCATTGGGGAGGCATAGGGAGACAAAGAAGAGGCTTGTTTTTCACTGTATTTTACCCTGTCTCTCCCATACTGGTCACATTGTCAGAATGAACAATCAAGTTTTGAAGGTAAAATGAAAGAAAACCAACAGTCTCTCGACAGGGGACGCAAGAGGTTTCTTCTCGGTACCCACTCACACTCACCACCACTCACCATTACATGTCTTGTTTCCTGCATTGTGGAAATAACAAATTAAAAGAAATTGGAACACCCATACTCCAGCACCCTACCACACTCCCACTCACCATTGCAAGTCTTGTCTGCTTCGTTGAAGGTGTGACCAATAGCATTGCACGAGCACTTGGGAGTGCCATCGGCTGTCATAGAGCAGGAGGCACTTTTCCCGCAATCCACTTGATAACACGCATCTGCAGGGGAATTCATGACGGGTTTCAAGGTGAAATAGGGGAACAGAGATGTGAAATGGACGACTTTACCTAATTGTGAGAAAAAAAACTGACACTTTAACACACACCCATCCAGCTCCAACCCACACTCCAGCACCCATCCACACTTCCACTCACCATTGCAAGTCTTGTCTGCTTCGTTGAAGGTGTGACCAATAGCATTGCACGAGCACTTGGGAGTGCCATCGGCTGTCATAGAGCAGGAGGCACTTTTCCCGCAATCCACTTGATAACACGCATCTGCAGGGGAATTCATGACGGGTTTCAAGGTGAAATAGGGGAACGGAGATGTGAAATGGACGACTTTACCTAATTGTGAGAAAAAAAACTGACACTTTAACACACACCCATCCAGCTCCAACCCACACTCCAGCACCCATCCACACTTCCACTCACCATTGCAAGTCTTGTCTGCTTCGTTAAAGCTGTAACCATTAGCATTGCACGAGCACTTGGGAGTGCCAGCGGCTGTCACAGAGCAGGAAGCATTTTTCCCGCAATCCACTTGATAACACGCGTCTGCAGGGAAATTTGAGGTGATTTTGATGTAAAATGAGGCAAGGAAGGTGTGAACGTGAAAATTTTGCCCAATCGTGTGCGACCCTCCACCAACCACCCACCCACACCCATCCACCCACCCACACTCCACCACCACCCATATTCCACCACCAAACCACCCACGCGGCACTGACCATTGCATGTCCTTTCCTTTTCATCGTAGATAAGACTTTTGTCAGTGCACGAGCACTTGGGAACGCCATCGCCTCCCACAGAGCAGGAAGCGTTTGTCCCGCATACATAATTATGACACGCGTCTGCAGGGGAATTCGTATACATGATGTCAAAAGCAACAAAGGTTTGACTGAATTTACAGCTTCGCTGTGCGCTAACCCACACTGAAAGAGCCATCCACAAACCTGCACCCATGCTCCCACACTCCAGCAGCTACCCATACTCCAGCACTCACCATTGCATGTCTTCTCTTTTTCATCGTAAATAAGACTTTTGTCAGTGCACGAGCACTTGGGAATGCCATCGCCTCCCACCGAGCAGGTAGCACCTATCCCGCATACATAATAATGACACGCGTCTGCAGGGGAATTTGTGGTCACGATGTAAAGAAGAGAAAAGGTTTGTCTGAATGTACAGCTTTGCTGTGCGCGAACCCCCAGTCCAAGACCCATCCACACTCCAAGAATCATCCAGAAACCTGCACCCATCCACCCACACTCCAGCACCCACCCACACTCCACCACTCACCATTGCATGTCTTCTCTTTTTCGTCGTACATAAGGCTTTTGTCAGTGCACGAGCACTTGGGAATGCCATCGCCTCCCACCGAGCAGGTAGCACCTATCCCGCATACATAATTATGACACGCGTCTGCAGGGGAATTCGTGGTCAAGGTGTAAAGAAGAGAAAAGGTTTGTCTGAATGTACAACTTTGCTGTGCGCTAACCCACACTCCAAGAATCATCCACAAACAGCACCCATCCACCCACACTCCAACACCCACCCACACTCCAGCACTCACCATTGCATGTCTTCTCTTTTTCGTCGTAAGACAGACTTTTGTCAGTGCACGAGCACTTGGGAATGCCATCGCCTCCCACAGAGCAGGTAGCACCTATCCCGCATGCATAATTATGACACGCGTCTGCAGGGGAATTCGTGGTCACGGTGTAAAGAAGAGAAAAGGTTTGTCTGAATGTACAACTTTGCTGTGCGCTAACCCACACTCCAAGAATCATCCAAAAACAGCACCCATCCACCCACACTCCAGCACCCACCCACACTCCACCACTCACCATTGCATGTCTTCTCTTTTTTGTCGCAAGTAAGACTTTTGTCAGTTGGGATGCGTTAGTTTTACCAGTTGGTTGCCGTGCCACTGCTTATGAGCGAGGGTGCATTTGAACGTTATGGCCAAGCACTCACCATGGTACTGCTGATTGGCTTCACTGAAGTTAAGAGCAAGAAGGTGGGCACTACTCTCAATCAGTTGGTTGCCATGCCACTGCTTATGAGCAAGGGTGCATTTGAACGCTATGGCCCAGCACTCACCATGGAAGTGCTGGTTGGCTTCACTGAAGGTAAAACCGTCGTTGACATGAGATGACGCACTGGCAGCCAGAAGTGTTATCAGCAAGCACAATGCACTTGGCATCGCTCGGACAGACTTTTTGCTTCGCTTGGCCCAGCACGCACTCACCACTCATCAACCACCCATCCACATTTCATCACCCAACCACACTCCAGCCAGTCTCCACGCAACCACACTCCAGAACACCACTCACCCATGCTCCAGCAGCACTCACCATTGCATGACTTGTCATTTTCGTTGTAGATCAGACTTTTGTCATTGCACAGGCAGTAGGTATTGAACTCGTCTCCCACGTGGCAGGAAGCCATTGCCCCGCAATCGACTTGCAACGTGTAACACATGTCTGCAGTGGGCATGTTGGTGGTTTAGATGTGCAGTGCCAAGAGGGAACAGTGAAACTGACAAGTCTGCAGTAGGCATTTTGGTGGTTTCAATTCGACGTACAGTGGGGAGAGGGGGGAGTGAAAGTGCCAAGTCTGCCTTGATTGTGTGGACTGACCAACACTCCAGCAGAGAAAGCGGGTGAGGAGGAATGAGAAGGAGTGAAGAAAGCAGGTGAGAAGCGAAATGATCAAGGGAAGCAGGAGTGGGGAAAGTCAGAAGGCTGCTGGGATGCACTACGATTGGCTGTCATATGCCATGCCAATGCTTGTGAGCGTGCTTTTGACCGCTACGCCCAGCACTCACCATGGCACTTTTGGTCGTCCTCGCTGAAGGTATAACCCATTGTGTTGCACTGGCAGCCAAAAGTGTTATCAGCAAGCACAATGCACTGGGCATCGCTCGGACAGACTCTCGCTTGGCCGAGCAGCACTCACCGTGGCACTTCTGGTCGTCTTCACTGAAGGTATAACCCATTGTGTTGCACAGGCAGCCAAAAGTGTTATCAGCAAGCACAATGCACTGGGCATCGCTCGGACAGACTCTCGCTTGGCCGAGCATGCACTCACCGTGGCACTTCTGGTCGTCTTCACTGAAGGTATAACCCATTGTGTTGCACTGGCAGCCAAAAGTGTTATCAGCAAGCACAATGCACTGGGCATCGCTCGGACAGACTCTCGCTTGGCCGAGCAGCACTCACCGTGGCACTTCTGGTCGTCCTCGCTGAAGGTATAACCCATTGTGTTGCACTGGCACTGGTCTTCCGAGTCAAACCTTACGCACCGGGCATCGCTCGGACAGGTTTTGCTAATGCAAGGACCTGGCGGGGTGAGGAGGGAAAACCGTGTGAGGAGGGACATGGGGTAGAAGAGAGGATACTAGCTAGCCAGCAAACCACGAGGAAGAGTGGGTATTTTGCTAAACAGTAAACGATGAACTTCATCTCTTACCTGCACTCCACCTCTCACCCACACTCCACCCCTCACCCACACTCCACCTCCCACCCACACTCCACCTCTCATCCACACTCCACCTCTCATCCACACTCCACCTCTCACCTCCCGTGTCCAGGCATTCAGGATCGCCAAATGGACCCGGCATGCAGATGCCATTGCTCCCACAATCTTTGTCACCACACCACACTGTTGGGGGCAAAAGCAGTTGGTGAGAACAAAGAAAGCCACATAAGAGAGGTGGTGAGAAGAAGCATCATGCCTCTTAAAGAGGGTGAGGAGGAGCAAGAGTGAGCACCGGGTGGGCTGACGTGGCTTTCTGCGCCAGTGGTGGGCGGCTATGCCTTCTAACTTACACGTGAGAGTTGAGTGCATCCGCTGCGCATCAATAATATCCGCAATATTTATACCCTAGGCTTGACCCAGTGGTTAGTCGGGCGTTACAGCGGCAGCCATCCAGCGGTGTCGCGAGGGTGTTACCACTCACTAGCGTTGGCTTGGGTCGCGAGGAGGCTGAGTGCAACGAGTCCCGCGATGAGTGCGCGGCCCAGGCCAGCACTAACGGCAGACCGCCGCCCGGAACGAACCATCATGACGACGGGTGACGGCTAGGGAGCCAGGGAGGCCGGATCAACGATCACCGCGCAGAGGCGTAGTAGAGTCGACTCGTCGAGATTGGGCGGAAGTGACTTGAGTCGACTCAAAAGTAGAGTGTGCTAGATTGGGCGTAATCTCGAATGTGGGAGCCCAGGAGGAGGAGACGAAAGCACGTAGTCTGCGGGGAGTGGCGTGAGAATGTGATTCTACTGCCTCGGAAGCAATTGTTGATAGTGCTGAGAGTGAGTGGCCAAGCGCACATCGATCATAGTTCCTATGATAATTCATCTGATCCGACGCTCGCGCTGTGAACTCGCGCAATGTGACGCGTTTCGTTTCCGCAATTTTCGGAGATTTCCGACGGTGAGGCGCGTACAGAGGGAGACCGACTCCGCACAGCGTCCAGCGGAGGGGAAGTAGAGAGAGGAGCGACCTTCGAGACAATGGAGCGCGAAGGAAGGGAGCATGACGGGAGCATGACGGGAAGAAAGACTAGCGTTGCCGTTGGACGAGGCGGGATTGAGGCTCCGCAACGGGGCGCAGAGCGAAAAGGCTTCCGCCTCGTACCAGAGGCGCGCTCACGCACATTAGGGTACTTGGGGACTTTTCGCATTATTGCTGCGAGAGATAATGCAGAAATGAAACGAATGCTGGTGTGAACGCGTTTGGTATGCCTGGTCCAATTGGGAGGAAATGGTCAGAGTAGGCCCGTCAGGGATCGCAAGCAAATGCGATCTATTGCGAGCTTTCGCGACTGGACCCTGTAACGTTCGTCAGCTCGGCGGACCACCGTTCGCCCAAGCCGACGCACATCGGCGACGGAAATCTGTTTGCATCACCAGCAAACTAGTCACACGAGGGCCAAACGCGGTTTTGCTGATGGCATATATCGGATCTGATCTCGGTGGGGCGTTTGAAAGTGTACTTAAACCAAAATGAGATTCTGTATACATGTAAACATCAATGCTACCCAATGGTGCTGGTAATGGTCTATGCAGACGTTTTCACTCACGCTCCTGCTTCGAACCGCAACAAGCTTGGTTGTTTAAATACAACGAACGGTACAAACGACAAGAAGCCAGGACATACAATGTAACACACAAAAAACCGAAGCTGGCCATCCCTTTGCAGACCCTAAGCCTGCAAAGATATCCCTTTCAATGCCTACACACATTAACAATACAGCCTGTTGGAATAACCGAAAGGTTATATAAGCATTCCCAAAGTTGTTCCACTGTACCAGTACTGCAATAGCTCATATAGAGCACGCGGAATATCGAAGGTCACACGGAGGTCAATCGTCTGAGGAAGTCAACGGTCGTGACCTTTGACGGTCTAGTAACCGCGCGACAGTAAACTCACTGCAACATGGTAATTGTCGAGAATAGCAATGGACGCGGTTACTGTAGCTATGCAAAACAGTTAATAAGGGAACGTACCCCTCAGAGTAGATGGCTAGCTATATTTTTATTTAATCTCTTGTACTCCTATCTTTTAATCATCTTGTTCTCTTTCAATTATTATTCAACAAGGTCACTACAGAGACTTCATTGTCTCCTCTCAGACTTAACAGATTCTATCCCATCTACTGGATCATTAGGTTATACCGTAATCTCCCGGATACAGAACCCCCCCGCGGAGAAGACCCTGTCAGAATATTATGCTCTAGCCTGCAGTGGGGTGCTCTATAGCGAGTACAACCCTTCTAGGGTTTGCTATTTGTATCCCATCCTTGCTAGTGCAAACCCCTTCCTTTGCTTCATTCTCTCTTGCCTAGCTAGGTCATCCCTAGCTATGGCCTCTTACTATACCTACTATTTCGACATGGTATTAGAGCGGTTACGCTCTTGGCCTGTGGGCCCCACTACTGCTTCCGCTGCCCTACTCTGTGCCGCGCGCCCCGTGGCGCGCGGCCTTCAATTTTTCATCCCGCCGCGCGCTCGGGGCGCGCGGCGGTTCCCTGCCCGCCGTGCGCGCCGAGGCGCGCGGCGGTTTCCAGCCGTGGGGGAGCCCGCGCGCACCCCGCCCGTCCGTCGCGGCGCCCTGGGGAGCACTCGCGGCCCCCACCCTGCACGTCGCGTCGCCTCCGGGGACCCGCGCGCACCCCCCCACCGTCGACTCGCCTCCCGTCGCCCGTCGTGGCCTGCGCGCGGCCCGTACAGCCGGCGCGCGGCCCGTACGGGCTGCGCCAGGCCTGCGCGCGGCCCGTACGGGCTGCGCCAGGCCTGCGCGCGGCCCGTACGGGCTGCGCCAGGCCCGCGCGCGGCCCGTACGGGCTGCGCCAGGCCCGCGCGCGGCCCGTACGGGAAGCGCCAGGCCCGCGCGCGGCTCGGGCCGCCTGCGCGCGGTTCGGGCGGCTGTGCCAGGCCCGTGGGCGGCCCGTTCCTCGCTGCCCCTGCCCTCCCCACTGTCCCCCGTGCTTCTACTGGCGCCCCACCCCTCCTACAGCCCGTTCTCCTGAATTAGGGTTTGGGGGTGAGGGGTATGGGGGTGAAGACACTGCGTGCCGTTCCCTGCTCCTCCTCCTCCTCCCTAGTCTCCCTCTGCTACAGCTGCCGCTGAGGGGGGTGGTGTGTGGGAGCCTAGGGTTTGGGGTTTAAGGGGGGTGCCGTGGGAATGGAGCTAGGGTTTCAGCAGTGGGTGTGTGGGGGGTGTGTGGGGCAGTTGGAGGAGGTTGAGCGGAGGTTGCCGTCGTGTCGTTCGCAGCACCTGTATTCCGGGGTTCCGCGGACCTCCGGTAGCTCAGAGAGCCGGCTGCACCTGTCGCCCGTGGGTCCGCTGCACCCTCTGCAGCGGATATTACCCCTGTATTCCGGGGCTCTGCGTCCGGTAGCCACTAGAGTTGCACCAGTGCCGTCTGTTGCCCGTGTGTCTGCAGCTTCAGTCGTCGTCTCCACTCTTCTCTCCTCTCGCCAGCCCTCCTCCTCCTCGCTTGCCCTCTGTGACAGCTTTAGCTTTACCCATTATTGTGAACTTTAAACTATTGCCTTTTGAACTTGTGCTCAGAATGTGTGGTGACATCGTGATCCACCCTGAGCTTGTACTGCTTGCTTGTTCTGCTGATTACACCCCACTTTGGCTATGGGGGTGTGTCAGAATATTATGCTCTAGCCTGCAGTGGGGTGCTCTATAGCGAGTACAACCCTTCTAGGGTTTGCTATTTGTATCCCATCCTTGCTAGTGCAAACCCCTTCCTTTGCTTCATTCTCTCTTGCCTAGCTAGGTCATCCCTAGCTATGGCCTCTTACTATACCTACTATTTCGACAGACCCTGGGTCCTCATTCCGGACCAAGGGTCTTTCATTCCGGCCTGTTCTCGTGAGGACCCCCCTTTTTTAAATGTAGAATATAAGACCCCCCCCTTTCCTAAAATTGAGGGTTTTTCACTGTTTTGTGCCCTTCTCTAGTTTAATGTCTTGTTAGCAAGGCCTTACACAGTTAGGGACCAAATTTACTACAACTACCACAACTACCTACTCATCTACCTATCCAGGCCGCCAGCCTCCCTCGCATCTCACAACTGGTACCAGTCAACCAGATCGCCAACATCCGCTGCCTCTCGTGGCACCCTACTCGTCCTCCTCCTCGTCATCATCAGTGCCAGCCTCCTCAACAACCTCTTGGGCGCCAGATGCATAGAGTGGATTAATCCACTCCTCAACATCGCCAGCAGCATGCACGTCGTCGTGCACTTCCACCTGCACGGCATCGCGCATGTGCGCGAGGATCAGATGGTCCTCGCGCCCGTCAGGCGTGTTGCTGATGCCCCATGTCTTGAACGAGCGGGTGATGGTGTCCTCAGGGACTGCCGCCCATGCATCTGCTATCCACTTAAGGATAACATCAACAGGGGGCTTCCTCATATTTCCTGCAATACAATCATAACCACACGGTCAGCAAAAAATGTTCATCGTACCGTAGAAGCAGCAGCAGTAGCGGAAGGTGCAAACATGTTTCTTACCTGCAGGTGTGAAAGAGTCGATGCCAACAGTCGAAAACCACTCGTTGTACAGCTCGCGCACTCGTGCCTTGTAGGCACGGTTAATCGCGACATCAAGGGGCTGCAGCAGGGGAGTGCACCCGCCAGGGATGATGGCAGGGACCATGCGCTGCCACCTCAGCGTCGAGAGGACTGCATTGGTCAGGTGGCCGCGATACGAGTCCAGGACCAGCAGGGTCCTGGATCGTATCACTCCGGGGGGGGGGGGGGGCGGGTGTGGGGAAGCAGAACATTCTGCACCCAGTCCATGACAAGGCTGGAATCCATCCAACCGCGCTCTTGGGCTCGGATGAGCATCCCTGCAACATGGCAGAGAGTAGGTTAGGCAATTTTCACGGTTGAGAGCGACATCAAACTCAGAAACATTACCTGGAGGGACGCGCACGTTCGGAAGGGTCTTCCTCTTGAAAATCACCATCGGCTTCAACTTCCGTCCATCTCCCGTAACTCCAAGCATAACTGTCATGCGCTGTTTTTCGTAGCCGGCGCTGCGAATCTGGACAGTGCGTTCACCACGGTGGTGCAGCGTGCGCTCATACGGCATCTCCAGAAACACTGGCGT